GGCGGGCGTGGTGCCGTGGGGGCATGGCTGAGGGCATGGCTGAGGGCACGGCACGGTGACATGGTGACACGGATGGTAACACGCGGACGAAAACACAGTTACTATTCACAGAATCCTTGCATGGCAGCGGCTGGAAGAGATCTCTGGAGATCATCTCATCCAACCCCAACCCCTCTGCTATAACAGGTTGTCCAGAATGGCGTCCGGGCGGGTTTGGAATCCCCTCAGAGAGGGAGATTCCACCGCCTCTCTGAGCAGCCTGTTCCAGGGCTCTGTGACCCTCAAAGTAAAGAAGTTTTTCCTCATGTTCAGATGGAGCTTCCCATGTTCCAGTTTGTGCCTGTTGCCGCTTGTCCTGTCACTGAGCACCACTGAAAAGAGGTCGGCCCCATGCTCTTGACCCTTACCCATTAGATATTGATGAGTATTGCTAAGATCCCCTCCCAGTCTTCTCCAGGCTAAACAGCCCGAGATCTCTCAGCCTTTCCTTGTAAGAGATGTTCCGGTCCCCTCATCCTCTTTGTACCCCTTCACTGGACTCTCTTCAGTGGTTTCCTCTGTCGAACTGGGAAGCCCAGCACTGGACACACTACTCCAGCTGTGGCCTCACCAGGGCAGAGTAGAGGGGCACAAGAACCTCCCTCGACCTGCTGGCTGAGAGTTATTCAGTAACTCTTCATACTACCACTGCCTTACAGTACCTCTCTGAAGACAAGGACTGTGCTGAATGTTATTCTATTATTTTAGTAACTAGTATTCTTCCCTGTGTGGTACCTGTGACTAACATAACTTTCAGGATTGCGATACTATGAAATAACTTATTGCTCACTATAACATCTCACCCCTCACTTTGAGGGCAGACTTAAAAGTGCAAGCACCTCAGTGCTCTGAGAGTTTCCACACAAAGCCTGTAGATACAAATATGAGAAATGTGTTTGGCTGGTAGGGCTCTAATGTAATGCTGCTGTCACTGTGTCATGTCATGACGTTAGAATCATAGAATCATTAAGGTTGGAAAAGACATCTAGGATCATCAAGTCCAACCATTACCCAACACTACCATCACCATTAAACCCATGTCCCCAGGTACGATATCTATGTGGTTTTTGAACCCCTCCAGGGATGGGGACTCCACCACCTCCCTGGGCAGCCTGTTCCAATGCCTCACCACTCTTTCGGTAAATAAATTCTTCCTAATATCCAATAGAAACCTCTCCTGGCACAACTTGAGCCCATTTCCTCTCGTCCTATTGCTAGTAACCTGGCAGAAGAGACCAACGCCCACCTCACTACAGCCTCCTTTCAGGTAGTTGTAGAGAGCGATAAGGTCTCCCCTCAGCCTCCTCTTCTCCAGGCTCAACAATCCCAGCTCCCTCAGCCACTCATAAGACATGTTCCCCAGACCCTTCACCAGACCCACTCCAGCACCTCAATGTGCTTCTTATACTGTGGTGCCCAAAACTGAACCCAGTATTCAGGCTGTGGGCTCACCAGTGCTGAGTACAATCACTTCCTTATTACTGCTGGACAAACTGTTTTCAATCCAGGGCAGGCTATCCACTCTCCTTTACCTTAAAATCCTACTAAATGGAGGGCAAATGCAGTATTTCAGCTCATAAAGTTACCTGGCTGGAAGTGAGCCTTGGGAGACAGGCTTCCTACCCTGCTCTGGAATACATGTAGACTATTTCTGCAGTCTCCTAGAATTATGATGCTATGGATATAATAAGAACAATAAAAGTACAGTTTTAGCAGATGCTTTGAATTCAGATGTTTTTCTGGGAGATGTCTGAAGCCTTTCTTACCATAACTAAATACGACTCAAGATCTTTCCTGTTCTGGAGGGAACAGACTTTAGCCAGAAACTTTTCAGCTCCAGCATAGGACTTAGTTTCTGTTTTTATTCCAGCGTGGTATCTGCATAGGAGTTGATGACTGTGGGTTTTAAAGCCCTTTCCCCAAAGAATTGGTGTCTGGATCGCAGTGGTGGCTGGGAGCCCAGGCAGCATCCTGCTCACTGAGACAGACACAGGAGGACAGGCACAGCAGGGCTGGAGGAGTGCAAGCCAGCAGCTCTCTGTGTAGGTCCTGGAAGCCTTCAAGTCCTGAACTATTTTTGTCAAGGAGAGCGGGCAGCTTGTGCCAGATCAGAGGAGTGACAAATGAAACCAGATGGTTTCCTTGCCTCACTGCGGGGTTGGAGCAGTCCCTGACGGTGGTGGAAGCCATCTGCTCCCAGTGTCAGGCCTCAGTCCCCAGAGATTCTGTCAGAAGCTGTTTCCTCCAGTCAGTGCAACGTGCCTGATTTAAGACTTGGAATTTTCATTGATTAAGGTGCTGTTTCTAAACTGGGACACTGCCTCAGTGACCTCCCCTCTGCTTAATTCCATCTTTTTCCATTCACAGATGGACTGTGTGCTATATCATCATTATCTTAGTATCATTTCTCTGCAAAATTTGGGTAAACTTTGGCCTGTCAGAAAAGGACATTAGCTAAAACAGCTCTTACACCACATTATGAATAAGGAATAGTGAAACTGGAGACATTTCATTCTTAATTCCTTTTAAGAGCAAAAATATTTAAGTCAACTCAGCTGATACAGTATGGAAACATAAGTCAGGAAAAACTTTGTAAAAACATTAGAAAATTAGTAGGAATTATAATACAAATTATGCCCACATTTCACTTGTGACTGCCTAATGGCACTTGAAAGTCTTAATTTAGGTGTAAATATGTATGCTGAACTTAGACCAGTTTTGCATCTGCTTTCAGATTTTGAATATATTTCAGATTTTGCATCTACTGCTACTAACTGAAGAAACCTGAAACAAAGATAGTAAAATACTGAATTGCATTAACTTCTTCGTCTCAAAAATCCAGCTCCTTGTGTTGGTTCCAGGTGGAAGCACAGTACCATAGAGGTAATTTTGCATTTAACACCTATGGGCTGGAATAAAAGCATATACACAAATCATGGTGCTGTCATGCCATGTGATACAGCCTTGGATGCTTCTACCCAGGGATATGAATTTCAGTTCAGGATTAACATTTCCAATGCTCATTTCAAAATACTGATTTTTACTGAGGTTGCTCCAGTACAATGATTAATGAATTACTGTTGGTCTCATTTCCATTTGGTGACCTAATAAATATGCCTCACAACTACAGCACACAGAGTCAAGAGAAGTTTTGTGTTCCCTCTGTTCTGGCTTTTCAGTCACAGATGAAAGCAAAAGGGAAACTGAAGACGAGTGTTGTCCCCTAAGCAGTTCCTGAGAGCACAGCAAGTATAGAAGTTTCATTAAGCTGTCAGCTTAAATATTTATCTGCAGTAAAAACAGATTTTTCCTAAGGCAACAATCTTCTGTTCAAAATTTAGGGAAATACCCAATGTGACAGTTGAATTACTATATTGTCCATCATTTAATTTGTCTCACAAGTCCGGAATTAAACAAGATTTCCTTTTGATGCGATTCAGGGCAGTATTGGGTGTTGGTACTACTGTCAGTAAGCTTTTTATTCCTTTTTTGGTTATACAGATGAAACTTCTTTCTGCAACTCCTGGAAAAGTCGTTTGTGAAATGAAAGTAGAGGAGGAGCATACCAACAGAGGTGGGACATTACATGGAGGTCTGACAGCCACACTTGTGGATGTGGTGTCAACCACAGCACTGCTGTACACAGAAAGAGCACTGCCTGGGGTCAGCGTGGACATGAACATCACGTAGGTATCACCCACCATGTTTACCAGGACACACCAACTTTTCTTCCCCTAACACGACGTTCACTCCATTGTACATCATTTGTGCTGTAGAGCTCAGAGGTTTTGTTACATTAAGGGGGGAAGTCTTAGGAAACTGGCCCAACCTCTATCTTCATGTGTGAAGATATGTTAAGAGTGTCCCCTCAAACACCAAGACCTAGTGTAAGCAGCTCTCTATGAACCCTTTTTTAGTATTAGTCCATAAAATGTTAGAATGGGAAACAGTTTAGCCCTGTTGTGTGGTCACAGAGAGGGTGAATTACAGACTGAATCAGAATTTCTCAGGGAAGGAAGGTTCCTTTTCTCTGGGTCATTTAAAGGTAGTTTTTTACTAAGAATAGCTCTTCCTGTAATACAAATTTAAAGTACAGTGCCATAAAAAAAAAAAAACACTGTTCTGAAACCTTCTTTGATCAGCTATTTTAGCCCATCAGCTTTGGTTCGTTACTTTTAATGAAGATATAACTGATTGGAACTACATCTGATTGGAATCTAGCAGAGCATCAAAAATCTTGGAAAAGTAACCCCTCATCAAAACTGTCTTTATATAAAAAAAAATAATTTAAAAGTTTGTGGGGGGGGTGAGCTCTATCTTTACTAAGTTCCCTCCTTTCTCCCCCAGCACCTTCTGATTTCTCGACTGGGTGAGTGGGACTGGAAGCATCTATTCAAGCTTTATACAACTACACTGTGATGACTAGGAAATTAGTGGAAGTGAAAACCTGAAACTCTCCTGTGGTTGGCTTTTTTCCTACATTAGTATAACAAGAAACCCACATCTGAATTATTTACACTATTGAGAATGCCTACCCAATTACATAACAGCTAAAATCTTAAGGAAGATCTGGAGGTGATCCAAAATGACTGAGTAGCATAACCTTCCCAAAATGTTATGGGAAACAATATTAAAAGTTGGCAGGAGGAAGCTATTTCAGGAATGGAAAGAACAGAGAGAAACAGAGAAACCTTTATTTTTAAACATCAAGAAGATCATCATCAGCCTCAGAGAGTAAAACAAGAGTGAAACCCTCCAACTAGCAGAGCTTTGTGCTACATCAGCACTAGGTGTGACTGGCATACTTCTGACATGGTGTCATGTAAAAATGGAGCGGTTGATGAAATTTATCTCAGCAAGATTTACATCCATCAGTTATACATTCTCCTCTGTAGTGCTAACATTTGAATATTGTTCCCTTACCTCACATTGTGGTTGGATCGAGTTCCTCCTAATTCTTTCCAAGCTTTTTGTTGGGGAATTTCTTCCTGTTCCCTGGAGAGTCTGTTTTAAAAGCACACCCTCCTACTCATGTAAATAAAAACAGTTATCTAACTAATGGAAACAGCATTAGACCTAGGACATTCTGAAAGCCTCCCAGATTTCCATGACTTTTCTCTGACCAGGGTATGGGAAGCACTTAACCTACGCTTAGGTTCCATACACAAATGACCTTCTGGAGCCTTTGTAGCAGAGACATTTTGCAGCTGAACCAGCCAGACTAGTTTAGAAAGGCTGTAGGGAGCCAGCAGTGGCTGGAATAGGCCTTGGGAGCTGAACATTTAACCGAGGTCTTTAACACCTAATTGTTTCTGTTCCAAAATGGACTTTTCCTCAGAACCAAGCCAATGGGTTTCTTTCTGTCCTCCATTTTCTCAGAGAACTCATGTACTGAATTACTACTGCAGTACTTGGAGGAACCCAAGGACCTCAAGACATGGGGATTTGCAAGCAGGCAGTTGGAGAGAGTTGCGTCTTTATTACTCACTTTTGCTAATTCCCTTCATGATAATCTAAAATGCAGGAATATTCTTGGATTTGTGCTCTGTACAGCCTCTTACCTGTTCTTTTGTTCTTCATTGAAGATACACTTCTGCTGCTAAGATTGGAGAAGAGATATTGATTACAGCTCAGATTTTGAAGCAAGGAAGAAATCTTGCATTTGCCACTGTGGATTTAACAAATAAGGCGACGGGAAAATTAATTGCACAAGGTAGACATACAAAGTATCTGGGAAATTAATATAAGAGATTTTTAAAATAATAATGTTGGGCTTAAGAACCCCATATAGAATGGTTTTCTCATTTATGCAAGAAGATGCCATCTGCACAAAATTGTGATAGTCTATATAAAATGAGTTTGTCTCACTCCCATAATAGATGAACAAGTTTCTTAATTAGCACCTGCATTGCTACAAGCCTAAAATTAGTGCCTGTTTTGGGATGAGGAAGCGTGATAGCATGGGGATGCATCCGGCTTTTCTGGTCAAGACAGCAGAAGGGAAGAGCCTTTGGACCAGCCATATGGTTTACCAGCATGACAGTGTTTTGAGAGATCAGTTTTCCTTGGTTTGTTGTTGTGTGACAAACAACCTTGTCTTCCAGCCCATCCCAGTCACACAACACTGTGTATGCTTACAACTAAACTACCTGTTCTGTCAGACAGTAGCACTGAGTTCCTGTAACAGTCTGAAACTGGTTTGAAAGTGTAAAGCAGGCTAATCCAGGACATAATTTACTGATGCTGTAACAAATCCACAAGTATTCAATAAAGCTTTCTGAAATTACCTTTTTAAAGATCATGGAGTAGTTTTGTAATCTCTTTGCACTGAGTAAAAGCTTGCCAGCATGGAGTGGTTGAGAGAGGCTGTGGTGGAACCTTTAAACACAAATTCACCCAAGATCTCATCATCATCTCCATGTGATGAGTAAGTGTGGAAAAGCAGTTACCTCACCAGGGCTTTTCACTTCTACCTGCCTGAAGTTCTGGCTCTATTTGTTTAAAAACCATCAGCTGAGAGCTAGAGATTTATCAAAAGGAATGTGGTGACCTTTTTATCAGGCGAAGGCTGTAGATGTATGACTTGGGCTGGACATAGTAGAGTTAAGCTGCTGTCCTTGAGCTGCAGACTTGTCTCCTCGTGCTGCTGTGGACAGGTTTAACTGCTTTCTTCAGGCAGATGACAAAGACAAGGTTACCACACTGCAACGGAAACAGCAATGCTGTGTATGCTGTGCAGGCTTGCATAAACTGTGGTCTTCGTTTTTATTCTCTAGTGGGAGATTTGAAAAAGTTAATTATAGAATCATTGAGGTTAGAAAATACATTTAACATCAAGTTCAACCATTAGCTCAGCACTGCCAGGTCACCACTAAACCACGTCCCTCAGCACATCTACAGGGATTTTAAATACCTCCAAGGATGGTGTGTCCACCACTATGCTGGGCAGCCTGTTCCAGTGCTTGACAACCCTTTCAGTGAAGAAATTTTTCCTAATATCCAACGTAAGCCTCTCCTGGTGTCACTTGAGGCCACTTCCTCTTCTGTTGCTTGTTACCTGGGAGAGCAGACCAACCCCCAGCTCGCTACAGCATCCTTTCAGGGAGTTGTACAAGGCTACACTAGTAAAGTGCACACAATTCTTTTTGTCTCGGAAGTCGACTCACAGTTTTCAGTTATTTGAATTTTGTTATTAAATGTGCAGTTAGGCCTTCTCTTTGTGCATTCCTAAGGCTAAGGAAATAACTTCCAATTAGTTAAGTGACCTGTGGATGCAGATTGATTTTCAATGGGAAGAAGTTTAGTAAATACCAGCAACCTTTCCAAAATGACTCTCGAACAAGTGAATGGAAATTCTCTACAAAAGTACCTACAGCAGGCTGACTATCAGCATGTATTTTTGCTGCAAGGTCAGAACAGTTGATTCTGGTACATTCTCAACAAAAGTTTTTTCTCTGAGGCTCTCTCAGAAGCATACATGGCTTATGTGCCTGTGGCTAGTTGAACTTTCAGTAGCAGCATCCTCTCTTCAGCAGTACATCTGTAACTGTTCTCCCCAGTACTTGCACTCATGCTCAGAATCATCCCTGAATCCCATTTACAGCAACACAATGCTTTGCTAAAGCATTTCTGAGAAGATACTACAGGAGCAACCTCTGCTCAGCAGAACTTTATGCTTCACTGTATTCAACTGTTTCTCACTTTACATCTTCCTGCCTGGACTCAGCTATGAGTCTTGAGCACCTCCAGCTCCTCTACAGTTACTAGGACAAGCAGAGAGAGGGGACTCATAACAGCATGCAGACATACCTAGGGGGTTTGGCAATTGCTGTTCTGGTTGTCTTCCTATTAACATGGTCTGGCATCTCCAACCACGTTTTTTCTCAAGCTTACCACTTTTCTTCCACAGGTGACCCACATAGTACAGTGCAAGGGAATAGAAGTGAAGATTCAAACTGTTCCCCCATCTTCTATAAACCCAACCCAAACCCCCCCCACTGTAACATGAGTGATTAACTGTTATCTGAAATAAAAGCCAGAGGGTGAGAATGAAGGAGGAGCCAAATTCAGAAAGTGCTAAAAGATTCCGAACACTCTCAGTTCTGTGTGCTGGGGCAACTCTGTCCTTGTGTGACTGTCCCACTGCAGCTTAGCCTGACTTCCCTCAGTCAAAGCTGCCTGCCTCGGGAACCTGCTGTAGTTAAGTGGTCTCATTCTATCACATGGCATTCATCATATCTACATAATTACTATTGGAAAGGATCCAGGCAAATGAAAAGTGGCAAATCCCAACATGGAAACAAAAGTTTCCTCCTCCTGTTCCTGTTCAAGCCTGGCAAGGGCTGTTGCAGAATGAGGGGGAAACAGGTAAAAAAACCAAACCCTTCCTGAAGTAACAAGGGAATTCTCTTCTCCCTTATAACAGACTATTCAACACAGTGAATTTCAGTGCTGCCTAATTAGTAAGAAAAAGGGATATTTTTAATATGCAGGCCAGTTATTTTAGAAGCAGTTCATTAAACTGATTATTTTTAGACAATCTCATCAGTTATCCCTCCACCAGCAGCAGCACGTTGACCTCAATTTATTTCACAACTTAAAGATTTGGAGATGACCTTAGAAGGAATTGTCACCATTGAGCTTGCATAGCTTTCAGAGTAAACTGTCAAATACCAGGTTTAAATATTTGGAGATGCTCTTTACTGATTTCACCCTAAACTACATGTTGAAAAATCCAAGTGTTACTTTAGCTAAGCCTCCAAGGAAGTAATGAGAAAGATTATAAAATAAATACAAATAGTGCATGGTCCCACCTTGGCATCAGAACAGACAGATCTCCTGTGGGGTTGACCTCCTTCCATCACTGCAGATTTAGGCATAATTCCCCTACAAGCAAGCAAATAAAGTGACTTGATGAGATCTGGAAGCTCCATATTTTACAGCTGCCAAGTGGGACCATCCCTCCCATGTCGTGCTGTTCGAGGTGTTGTTTTTTTTCTCTTCTTTGTTATTTAAACATACCAAAACACCTACACCGTACTTCTTGGTGTCTAGTGGTCTCTCCTCATGCAGGGCCCCACTTCTCACAGGGGTATGTGACACATGGAACAGTTTGTCTCTATCAGTGGAAGTAACTGCAGCTTCTCACTTCATGCAATAGATTGGTCAGCCAAGAGCGTCACGCTGGACTCCACCAGTGCAGCTGCATTCTGAGGGACACCCAGGCCCTCGCACCGTGGCAGAACCACGTGTCACAGGTCCCTTCAGAAAACAACGAGCAATTGTCCCCATGGGCATTGAAACCCAGGAGTCCAGACACCAGTCAGGGCAACTACTGATGAAGGTGCTGTGAGGAAGGGTTTAGTCATTAAGGATTCCAGCTCACAGGAAGAAGAAATGTGTCAATGATAAACTAGAGAGAGCAAGGAAAAAGGTCACTGCTGCGACAGGCATTAGAACTACGAGGATTCCTTGTTGGTCTTTCAGGTTGAGCCATGGGTTGCAGGGGTCTCATAGCTGAGTTATTACTCCCCCAACCTAATTACAAGATAGCTGGTTTACACTTCCCAAATTGGCAAGTGTTCCCACCTAAAGGGGATGGGGGGTATGGAGAATTCGGCTGTTAAGTAACTGTTCCAAACAGCAGTTCAACTATGTTCAGGTTCATTGGGAGGCTCCAAGCCACTGCCAGGTTGTAGAAAAGAATTTCGATCTGTGTTTTATCACTAACCATTTTAGGGTTCCCTATCTGCAGAAACCTTTTAGCCAGTACAAAGAAATGCCAACAGCTCTCCCTCACCTCACTGTCCATGGGAATGAAGAAAAGAAGCACTTCGGTTCCTATTTTGCTACTTGGAGATCTGAGAGACAACATGATGGTCATGATTACCTTTGTGGTTCTGTGATACGCTCGCTGCAGGACTGCTGCTAGCACATCCCCTGTCCCAGGCTGCCATGGCTGTGGGACACTGCACCACGTGCGGGTCTTGCCTCTAACACACCAAATTACCTACAAGCTCTAATCAAACAAGACACACTGGCTGGAAAAAAACAACAAAACAAACACACTACAAACCAACCTTATTTTTTCACCGAAACAGTACCTGGGGCTATACCATTGTAGTAAAACTCTAGACCTTTGATTTCTCTTGCTTCCAAAACAGCAGCTGCTTGAATAGATTTCAAGAGTCCAGAAAAAACAGCTTGTAGAGAGGCTGCTCTAGCATACAGTAGTTGTGCTCAGCTCAAACCTTTCCATATGTAAACCCTTTCCAAGCAGAACTAGGTCACAGAGATCTTCAGCCTGAAAGAGCATTTCAGCCATGCAGAAGAGAAATTGCACTTGCCTGTCACTCAACTTGCTTCAGTGAACCTGCAGAGGTGACAGCTCCACCCAGCTGACTGAACTCAGGACAGAACTCCCAGCTGTGGTGCTGCCCTCAGAACATAGTACCTACCACTGCAGGAGGAACTGAGCTTCCCTCTCGCCTGCTCCTCACAGCAGACAGTTCAGGGGGACCTCAATAACACAACACGGAAGATTTAAACACTGAACTACTATAAAGCAGCCAGCAGGGAAGGAGCTGAGGGAACTTCCAGTCCTGCTGTAGACTAGAGACCCTGAACCTTTTACCTCAGTCCTGCTTTTTTAGCACGTACAGAAGACACCTGCAAGCCAAGGCCTTGCACATAACAGCGTGGTGTCAAGCAGTACAGGTGCAAATGAAGGCCAAGCCTACACACAGAAATGCCCTGTGTGTGCTAGTGACACTAGGGGACAAGTAATAGCATTGGCCTTACGGTTGGGCAAGAGTGGTTTATACATACAGATTACTAACACGAGAAACTGTGCAAGCATTGTGGAATCACCACCACTCAAGCTAGTATCATGCCTCAAACATCCACATTCAACGTCCTTCCCCTCTTTGTAAAACACTACTACGTTTTACCACATGACTTCACTCCAGAAAGCTGTTCCAGCATCTTCAGGCTTACACAGCTGCTGAATTTTCTGCTGCAATAAATTCAAAACTAAAAATGGGAGAAGCTTCTCCAGGCTGATAGAAAAAAAATAGCAAGAAAATTCCCACCACATCTCTGCCTAACAGATGTAAACATTAAAGTCAAAAATTACCAGATTGCAACTATCATGCTAGTGGCAGGAACCTTAATATAATCTGAAATGAAGTCTGCAACAGTCCATTAGAATAATTGCAGAGTTAAGGAGCAAAAAGCCCTGAAGTCACTGTTCTCTCTGCTCAGCCTCCAGAGATGATGACCATGAGGTGGTGTTCACTCAGTCAGCAACCCTGTGACTGGGCACACAGCAAGGGCAGGACAACAGAGTGTCCTCCCAGCAGGAAACCAGGCACAGCAGGGAGGACACCTGCCAGCTCACGAGCCAGGAATATCTAAAAGCAGCAGGAGCTTACAGCACTCATATCAGATTTTCCAGCAATTCTAAAACTAATACTTTACATCTTGATGTGTCAACAAAAAGACATGGCTGTCCGCAAGGACCAGAGCACCTACCTGTGGCAAGGACTGAGCCTCTGCTTGTTTTGTCTTTTGTAAGGACAGATGCAATTCTTTCACAGATTTCGTTTTTTAAATAGTCTGGAAAATTGAAACTGGCAAAATTACTGTCTTTGTAAGATTACCAGCTCTGTTTCTAACAGGCTTAACATTTTGAAGATAAAAAAAAAAACATCAACTTGTAGCAACAGATCAGCACTTTGAGCTAAAGCTTTCAATGATCAAACAGTAGTTCTAGTTTGAGTAACTAATTATATTTTTAAGAGAAACACTGAGTAATCCCAAGGCGTTTTTAGTACCTGATGTATCATTTAACAGAAATTTTAGTGTGACAGAATAGCTTTCAAGAAGCACTTTAGGCTTCGAGACAGAGGTGACAAAGCACATCAGCTGCAGACCAGCTCCAGGCCTACCACATTTGGGCAACGCTTGTCCAAGCAGCTCTGTCCAACTTCCCTTATTTTTGGTAACTTGTGCAGCTGAAGAAGCTTGGAAGAGTGAAGGGAAACTATGCAGCCACATACAGGCCATGACATTTAAGAAGTTTCTCCTTGTCAGCCAGGAGGCACCCAACAGCTGCTTCCCTTCACCAGACACTTCATTTAGATGCAAGAGGTTTAACAGGTCTCTGTCTACTTCATTTTGCTGCCTCCACGTTTATCCCAGCTCTGTTGGCACTTGACAAGTTCACATGAGAAATCCTCCAGCAACAGCCTGGTAAAACTCCCACGTTCAGGTGAGATGCTGAGTGCACTTCAGCTCTTAGGTATGAGCACATCCAAAGGAGACATACGAGCAGCAGACAGCAGGTAGCAACCAAAATTCTGCTCTTACTGAAAAGCCTTTTTTTAATCTACTAACAGCTCCACTGAACAAAGCAATTAGGTTTACACAGTCACGAATGGTGAGGTTTCTTCTAAGAGAAACCAGAATGAAGAAAAAACAAAATTCCTAATGCAAGAATAAGTCATTTCCTTTGCTAAGCAAGATGAACCATGGCCATATTAGCACTGCTGACAAATTAAGAAGAAAAAGGGACTGCACTTAGGAAGCAAAATCCAAACTCGTGAAAGTTGAATGTTCAAGACCCTACAGCAAAATCTGCCTCAAGCTTCACATGGACACTTAGCATTATGTCTTGCAGGCCATTTAAAGAAGAGGTGCTTAAAGCTGGGAAACTTTAGGTACTATTAGCAGGTATGATTGTTACTAAATATATAGAAAATCTTAGCATTCAGTAGAGCAGCATTTTCAAGATATTTCTTTGTAACTTCAGGCACTTATTAATGTGAAGTTTCAGCTTTCAGGTTGTGTTTCTCTCGTGTGCTCCAGTTAAACCTGAAGGACCTTATGACAAAAGAACTAAAAATATCCACGTACCAATACAACAGTGTGCCAATGACTGAGTTATTTCTGACAGCTACTTTTCAGAACAACCACACTGCCCACATACCTAAGTAACACCTTTGCCACTGACCTTTGTTACTCCTAAAACCATTTCATAGGCTGTACATTTTCTGTGTTTGTAACGGATGATGCTGTCAGGATGTAAGTCTATTAAAATCAAGCAGGATTTTCATACATAAACCAGTCATCTTTCACCTAATTTATTTAAGTTCCAATTTTTTCCAATTCCAAACAAAAGCTAAATACAAGTTTTAAACAGGTAAGCACTAGTTTTATCCAAAGGGAGCAGGCTTATGTAGTTTTACTCCAGTAAAGTACTCAACCCTTAAGCAGAGCCTTCTGTCATCAAAACTATACAGTAGTCTTCCTTTTATCATTGCACAATCTTAAAATGTTCCATCAGAACCAACTTTTGACACTCCAAACACTATTTTACATTGTTTTATAATGTCTATTCCAAAAGAAAAAAAAAAAAACCTCAGTGGGTTTTCCATAAGAAATGTTTTAGAAACCAGTATTTCCTGCACAGTTCACCTGCAAGTTTACAAGTCTCAACTCTCAAGAAAAAATAATCCTCTACCCACATTGTTTCTGCAGCTATTATTTTACTTTAGTTTTAGCTGCTTTAGCAACTTCAGACTCCAGGTCTGCCTCATCTGTATAAATGCATCCAACTCAAAAGAATACTTTCATACAGCTACACAGCAACTTGGGGAAAGAGATCCAAAATCAAAGTGCCAGTAAACTCAGACATGGCGCAGCAAAATAAAAGCGGCAAACAAAATGCCTAGACATTAAATGAGATGCCTTCTTTTTAAAGAAAGATTTCTTCCCCACATTTACCTCCTATTGTAATAGCCACTTTTCTGTTCATTAAAACGAGTGATAGTGCTTTTTGATACAATCATTAACAGCAAAGCTATAAGGCTTTTATACCCGTTACATTCACTTCTCACCCTCCAAATACTGATGGTTAACATTGTGGATGTTAGGGGGCATGACCAGCACAAATGGGAACACCACCACAAATGGTCACCTTGTGCCTTCGGATACGTTTGTTTCAGTGTACAGTCCCTTCATTTCACATTTTAGTAAGATGCTGATGCAGTGCAGAAGCGTGCAGAGCATCCTCTCTTTCACAAGGTCCATGCAGAAAACATCTAAAAAAAATTGTAAAGTTCTGAGATACAAATGATAAAAAAAATCCAGGATGATCAAGTTTCACAATGTATAGTGTTCTGAACATGAGTCCATTTTTCTTCTAAATTCTGAAAGAATAAAGTGGTGAGGAAAGTGAAAATCCACTGCTGCATTCTGTGATCTTCCCCATTTTGCTGGCCAGTGCCTTACTCTGGCATGTAAGGACGGAGGTGATCCTCTACGGTACCAACCGCCCAGTGAGTGAGCTGCTCCTGTGGCAGGTACAGGCAGATGCTGCATAACTTGAAGATTGTAGCTTTGTTTTTTGGAGTCTAGAGTAAAAAAAAAAAATCCAAGGAAAAGCTATTAAACATGAAAGTTAACTCAAGACTAATAGGCAGACCCAGCCCAAATATTAGCTTGCTGCTAGCTGTGGAGGAACATAGGTATCTGAACACAGACTACTGCGTCCATATAAACAACCTGAACTCAAAACTCATCTGCAACCTCTCATGCCTAGAATATTTTCTCTATTCTGTAGTATCACCCAAATTAAGCCAAAGTTTTCATTTTTCCAAAACACTTATGTCCTTTAGAACTCAATTTTTTAATACAAACCCATTACATTATCAGTGAACACATCTGTGGCCCATAGCTACTTTTCTGCACATCTGAATCCTATTTATAGCCTGAGTTCCTCTGAAACTGCTGAAATGCAGGCTCAAAGGCATGATCTATTTTTCTACTTGAGTACTTTGTAGTGAATCACTGATGTCCCTAAGAAAAGGCATTTTATGCTTAAAACACACTTGCTAAAAGAGGGATGAAATAAGCTTACCTGCAAGTGCTGTCTGTCAATGAAGAGAAACACTGACTGGTTAGGGTTGTTGACAACAATTCCAGTCTTGTCCTTTCGGCTCAGAACATGCAGAAACTGTTTTTCATAGTCACCGTGATGAAATTCAAACTTGGCCTGCATTGTGTGAGAGAGGGGAGTAACGTTTTTATTCAGCTAAAGCTCACTTTCAGCCAATTAGTTTCCTTCAACCTGGGGCTTTACAACCACTTTTGTCTCTTTCCTTTTCTCATCTATGGAAAGCAGGAACTGTAGGCCATGACATATTTGAGTCTTGGCACAAATTAAATGTCACGGAACTAGAGAATTCTTTACAATTCTAAAGGTTCAACTTTAACTGCTCAGCTAAAACCAGATTTAGCTGGTTGTGGCAGAATATCCCTGTCCATCAACAACACAGCACATTTCTTCTTTACTTACTATTATTGCAGAACCACCACAGCAAATATACATAACACTGTTCAAAAATATGCATGTAAACAGCTAAAGCTGGCTGCTGAAAAATAGTATTAAATTGAAATTTACTTCAGAGTAAAATTATAATGCAAAAATTTCACCTATCTCAGAACCTCTTTCATTTAACAAAATACAGCAATGTTGGACACTCACAGAACCACAACTGCACTGTCACATTTAGGCAAAGATGGAACTGCATGGAGAGCCACATCTACTCCACTTCTAACACAAACACTAACATGACACAGGTATTTACACATATATGCTTACCATGTGGAATTTTTGTAATGGTGCATAAACATAAGAAGCAGAATTTGGCATTCAAAGCAACTGCTTTAACACTAAAACCAGACAGTATACTAACAGTATACCAACATTCACAGAAGCCACATACTTCAACTCCTGGGTTAAGAAGAGATAGCACTTTTGAAGTTAAGGAAAAACAAGTACCTGAACAGGCCTAAAGGGTTCATCAGATCCCTTCCATCGAGAAAACAGGAGACAGACTATCTTCTCAATATCATTACGAGGCCAAAGAATGAAGTCCATCTCCTGGGTACAGCCGATCACATCCTGCAGGTAATAAAGGTCTCTACTTACATTGCCTCCACTGGTCAAAGATGCAGACAAGCAACTCATCTACACAGGCACGTGAGTTACAGCTGGTGCTTACTACTCTATTTGTGCAGTTTTCCACTTGCACTGCTCAGAGCACAAGTAAAGTCTCCCTTTTGTTAGAGTTTTAATGTCAGTATCCAGTTAATACACATCCCAACTTTTAGAAAAGATTAGCAAAGACCATCTATCTTCCCATGTTCATAAAGCAAAATGACTTAGCAGTACAGCAGAAGCTGCTGCAAGAATATATGACTACTAAAGGGCAAGGACACCAAGAAGTCTTCATTCCCAAGGCAATTTTGAGAGACAGATGAAAGGAAAAGCTTGAGCACCACATATTTAAACAGAATTTCAGACTGCAACTCCTGCGACCCTTCAAACTAGAGCCCATGAACACATACCCTCAGAACCCATGAGCAGCAGAAGAATTGAGGAAAAAAAACACCCTATCAGGATTAGCCTTAAGATCCACAAAGAAAAGCATCCGAACTCAGCAAGCGTAAAGAGGAACTTTACCCTGCGCATAGACTGGTAGCGGGGTGCGTGGAGCTGTACAACATCCTTCTGCAGAAGCTCCAAGGAACTCTCCAAAGAATAGCTGGAATCCCGCACACCTTTCAGGATATTTTCTTCATAATTATTGGTCATGACTGGTATCACTTCAGACACTTCAAAAAGCGCTGACTTTTTCTTCTAAAAAAAACATAAAACAAAGCCCCACAGGTTACATTAAGATCAGAATCCTTTCTAGGCAGTTATGAGTAACAGTTTATTTCAGAATTACTGATTTTCTGTCAGCATTCATATATGAAATGCATATCACAAACTACGACTGACACAAACCACACTAAAATTTACATGCACAATTTTATAAATGAAACAGAATTAGTCCAACAACTTTATTAAAAGAAGTTTAACAGGTTTGTGTAGTCTCCAAAATACAGATTTATGTGCCAATCTTGCAAGTATTAAAGCTGTATCTAAACATTAACAGAACTGCCCTTTTATCACATAGAATGCATGACTTTGGGCTGACCAAGAGCTCTCTGCAAGTCAACACTTCCTTATCTCCACTTTGCAATACTTTAAAGGTGGCCTTTTACAAAAAGTGAACTCTTTCGGTTCCTACTAACTACAAATCTTTCAATCTCTCTCAAGCAACACCAAAAATGTTATGGACAGTTTGAAAGAACAGTTTTTGCTCTATGTAAAACTGCTTAAAGCTGTACATCTGCTTCCAGCAATTTTCTTACAGCTCATGAGAAGTCTTGACCTAGTTAAAGAACTACAGGACAGACAACACAGATTTTATCAAATAAGCCTCCTCACACTCAGCCAGAACATACCTAACAGGTAACGAACTGCTGACCAAGCAAGGCTGAGCTAAGCTCCTACTCTGAGCAAACTGGTACTGGATGTACATCTTCAGTTCACTGTGATATAAGCCAATTTTTATAGGATTTAGAATGGGCATTTCCAAGTGATTTCTATAAAGCAAACAGAAAGTAGCATCAATGCTCTAACTAAACCCACTAAAGTCATATTATTTGAGAAAATCTAATTGTTATCACTGGTTAAACATCTAGACTTATCTTTATTACTATGAGAGAGTGCCAAGAAATTTCATCCCACTGTATCCACCTGTTTGCACTAGAATTGATGAGCAAAACCAAACTGAACATAGGAATTTTAAAGGAAACTTTTCAATTAAAAAAATTAAAAGAACAAGAGCCTTAATTTAAAAAAAACACACAACTGTTAAAGCTAATCCAAAACCTATAAATTTGAGGGGATTAAGCAACATCAGTGCTCACTGACACGTGTTTCCTGCGTTATGTACTCTACTGCCATTTGCTTGTCTTCACTTCCTCATTTGGTCAGCATATTCCCTTACCATAAGCACCTCCTTTTCTTCAATCTCTGTGGACAGAAACTACCCTACAGTTCTAGGTCTGTAGTCAGCTCTAGAAATAGCACGAGGCTCCCCAGGTCAGCCCAGACAAGGCAGCCCAGCAAATGAGGACTTCCCCTTTCTGCTCCCTTTCAAAACGGTAGCAGCAGCTTCACCTGTGCCTCTGTGCTCGGGCCATCTCAGTGCTGCGTTTTGCAACCCCTCCCTTCAGCTGCCAGCTCTTCCCTTCTGCCGTGAGCAGATAAACACAGGAACTTCTGCAACCGCTCCTCCCTGGTCTCCCTTTCCAACTCAACTGTTCACAGACAACACTTATGCGATTCTGACCCCAGTTAGGCTTAACGAATTACAGTATTCAAAAAATATTTACCTAATACAGAAGAGAGCAAGTAATCACTTAATGAGGCACCGGCACCCTCTGCACTACAAAACTACAGATGTGAAGAGACACAAGGGCAAACAAAACTATGTAAATATTATAGCAATTTAAAAAAAAAAGTTAAAAGGCCAATGGAGTCTGTTAAAGGATAAACTATAAGATGCAACCAGGCAGCAGAACCTTGCACAGTGTAGCTAACACACACCACAACAGACAACAGAGTGAGAGAGAAGCGTTAAAACCGAGTTACCTTGTCTTTGAACACAAAGGCAATGTACATCTTGAAGTCAAACTGGTCAGCTAAAGATTCTTTTTTCTTTCTAAGCTGAGCACGAAGTCTGTTCAGAGCTTGTTTCTTCCGGGAGTTTGGGTCCCCCATTTTGTAATACAGGTGGTACTAAAGCCTTTGGAAACTGTCGCTAAACTATGGGCACCTTTTCGTAAGACTCAAGTACAACAGAAACAAGTCGTTTTATTCCTGCTAATACGACTGAACAGATAAAACGCTAATGTAACCCAAAACCACACCTCAAGCAGTATTTTATGAGAATGTCATATCAGAGGGGTCGAGAAACAAACTAAGTAGTTGTCCAGCCATAGCTAGACAATAAGTTTTACAATAAACCAAGAAAAAAAAAATTTGAAGACAAAAATTTGAACAGGTTAGCCGCAGGAATAATTGGGTAAGAATGAAATAAAAAAAAAAAAAAAAAAGAAAAACAGAACCAGAAACAAATCTTATCACAATTTATGTGTACAATAAAAAGCAACTGGCACAAACCCAATCCATGGGGGGGTACTTTTGCTCTGCTTACAAAAAAAAAAAAAAGAAGCTGAAATTACAAACTGCGTTTTACCCCAGCCAGATTCATGACTCTACTGATTATTATTCTCAGCTTTCCACTATTGCTATGTTGCCCGACTGTTTTTTTCCTTTAGAACTATTACACTTGGTGGACAGCAGAGAAAAGGGTGCAAAGGAGGGGTGCACATCCTGGGAGGTATGACATTTCTCTGCCAACAACAACAAAATCGACCACAGACAACACAGTGCTGGTTTGCAGGGGAGCGAAGAGAAAAAACAGCGGAGTCATTTCTAACCTCATTCTACTCATCATCAGGCACATCATTGCCCTGAGGCTACCGCTGCCAAAGAGAAGAGGGATCATGATGGCCATCGACGAGGGGCGGGCAGGGGTTCAAGGGACAGAATTATCTCACCTAGAGACTAAAACCCGAATCAGTGCCCCAAACCCCGGCTGCTTCCCAGTGGGAGACCCCTACATCCCCCAAGACCTCAGACCCTCCCTGGGCTGCTGATCCCCCGGGGATCCTCCTCTCTCCGCCGCTGCAGGCTCCACAGCGAGCACAGTCAGCCCAGGCTGTGCATGGCCAACGCTCGGCGCTTCTCCTCGGGCCCCTCCCTACGCAGGACGGCAGATCTGGCCCGCAGCGGGCGGCCGTGCCCGGGCAGCGGGACACCCACAGCACCACGCTGGCCCCCCTCTCACTTCATGGTCACGACTTGGAAAACATGGAGAGCTTTGTTCCTGCTTTTCCCGCAAAAGAGGTTTTCGGTGTTAAAAAAAAATAATTTTGCGAGATTTTTTTCTAATTGCAAGCCTAGGTTGCAATTTTTAACCTCTACAACGCCCTCCTCCCCCTCCCCTAAAAGCAAGTCCCTAGATATCAGGTTATTTTCTTCCTCTCTCCAGACATTTTCCCCCCCAGGTGTTTGATTAGTCGGGGTTTAAAGTTTTTAGGTTAGCAAATTCGTCGGACCAAGTTAAGAAGAGGGGAAGAAATAATCCCCCCTCCTCTCTAGACAAAAAAAAATGAAAAACAAAAGCTAACACG